TGGAAAAATTTATCAGAGGAATGGAAACTACAAAAAATCATCAAATGGAAATTATTTTTTTTTCTTTTTGGCGGCTGGCTGGTGAGAGGAACCAAACCCTTGACCTTGGTGTTACAAGCGTGTGCTCTAACAAACTGAGCTAACCGGCCAGGCCCCCAAATGGAAATTCTAGAACTTAAAAATACAGTAACTAAAATTAGGGCTGGCCGGTTAGCTCACTTCAGAAAGCGTGCTGCTGGTAACACCAGGGTCACAGGTTCAGATCCCCATACCAGCCAGCTGTGGAAAGCAAACAAACAAACAAACAAAAATAACTGAAATTTAACACCCAATAGATGGTAGAGATTTTAACAGATTAGACACAGGTGACAGAAATAATGAAAATGAAAAAACTAGAGGTACATGTATTAACATGGATGACTCATAATGTCGAGGAAAAAAAGCAAATAACATAAACTACAGTATTTTTAAAGCATACAGAATAACAAATTTAGACATATGAAAATATATAGTATAAATGTCAATAAATTATGAAAATAATAAATACCAAATTCAGAATGGCTTCCACTGGGGAAAGGGAGAGGAACACAGTAGGCTTTAACAATATAGTTAACATTTTATTTAATATGTTTGATGGGTAAACAAGTACTTATTATTTTTACCTTCTGTATGCATGAGATAGGAACGATTATTTTTTTTTTTTGTCTTTTTGTCTTTTTCCGTGTCCGGCAACGGATCGCAACCCTCAGTGTCACACCCGTACCGGACCGGGACTGGCAACGGGATCGCAACACTCAGCGCTGCACCCGCACCTCGCTCAGCCAGTGAGCGGGAACCGGTCTGTATGTGGGATCTGAACCCTTGGAGGGAGCGCCGCCGCGCTTCCCAAGCGGCGCACTGTAGCAGTGCGCCACCGGGCTGGCCCATGCACTGACTTTTACAACAAAACTCTTAAGAGGAGAACTATTACTAAGGCCTGTGGTATCAGAGGCCTCAAAATATAAAAATATAGCATATGATTTAATGTGTTATTCAGCAATTAGCTGTTTTATTTCAATCATGGGAGAATATCACTTTTACTTTAATAATAATACAAGGCTTGAACAAAAGTTTTAGAAATGTACGAGAAAAGCCAGATCATATATTTTTTTTAATGATACATGGACTCTACATCACTTTCATAATGGAAATGGAAGGAAGATGTACTGGAAAAAGTGGCAATGGTGGACAGCCTCAGAATTCTAAATTAATCAGTGTATCTCAGATTTCCTCAGATGATTCACACATGTTTCTTACCTGTCTTATGATCTCAGTGAGGGTTCTCGGATTCTGTGATAATATGCCCTTTTGCTATCTGGTATGTATATGCCATAGAAATATTGGATAAGGGTAGGATCAGCAACTAATCTATGAGAAATTTTGTATTATTAAAGACAAATGAAAAACTGAATGCTTCTCCCACCATTCAGTAAAAAATATTGTTCATGTCTGTAAGGACAGAAACTTATTAATGGTAAAATATGATTTTGTCACTATCACTTTTTAGTGCTACAAGTTTAGTGCTCCAGGAGCAAGGATAAGAAGGGAAAAGGGAAATTTTAATAAGGTATTATCATGGCAGAATGTGGTTGAAGTATATCCAAGTGGGGGATAATAATTGTTGCCACCTCACAGTACAGTTTTGAATATTAAATCAGACAATATATGTCAAATATTTAATACTGTGCTACTACTATTATTATTGTGTGCGTCCATACAATATGGTACCTGTTTATAGGCAGTGGATATTTTGGATTGCTATTTGGATTCATTTAACATCAATGAGTAAAGAAGGCAGGTGAAACTTCCAGCTAAACACCTAAAGGCAGAAATGGCAGTGAGACCCCTTACTGAAAACAAGAAGACAAAGTGAAACTGAATACAGTGAGACACTTAGCTCCCAGCCCTCACTTGTCTCCAAAAACTATGACAGCCCAGCTCATACAACCTGAGATAGAAAGCTAGAAGATTCCTCTCTAGAAAAACTGACCCATCCCAAAGAAAAACCTTCAGAAAATGATGTTGGGAGTGTGAGGGATGGCCAGTGGAAAAGTTTTATTGCTCCCTTACCTTACAATAAAGCTCACCACTGAAAGGTCCTACCCATGCACAGAGAAGGACTTTCCAATTAGCTTTCTCTGTGCCTCTCAAATATGAAGGATCCTTAGACAATTAAGGCAGATTCTAACTTGAATGACTATGACCAACCAAACAGAAAAAAAGGAACTTCAGGAAATTGTGTTAATGCAGGAAACAAAGAAAATTTAAAAACCACCAGAAAACCTAAATTAATATCCTCAGAATGATGAGAACACATTGCACGCTCAAACAAGAAGGTGGTACTTAAAATAATTGGAATCCCCAAATCTTAGATACCTATACAAGAGAAAACAAAGGGAAGTCCCAATATGATCAATTCTACGACAGCTGTGTCATTTGGCTGAGAGAGCAATCAATCCATCCAGACCAGAAAATGAAAGACTTTAATAGGAATGTGAGAGTTATTTGGGTAATAAATGAGTAATGACAAATGATTCTGGTGATAAATTAATAGAAGTTGAGCAAATTACAACCAAGGCAATTACTACTTCCAGAAAGAAAACAATTCTAAAGGAAAGGAAATATAATCATGGTATACTACAGAAGACAACATTATCTACATATACTTAATATATACTGAATATGAATTTAACAAAAGTCAATACAATTAAATGATGATGGGAGTAGAGATCCCAGTGTAAGATCAGGTTAGGGAAGGGAGGGATATAGGAGGTGTGTGAGAAAGCAAAATCTTCATCTTCCATGGTAGGAAGTCAGATCATATCTATAATTGTAAAAATTCAAGAGAAGAAAAAAGAAAGGGGCAAAAGAGGCAATACGGTAAAGCATTTGGAGCTCAGATGCCCTGGTATTAAGAATCAGAATAATCCAAGATCTGTTGCTTACTTGATCTGGGTAAATTACTTAATCTTTCTGTTCATAAGTTTCCTAACCTCTAAAATGAGATTGTTGTGAGAACTGACTTCATAAAAGTAGAGAGCTTAGAATATACTTGGCACATAGTAAATGCTCAAATTCTAGAATTAAAAGCTTGTTACTTAGAAATGTGGAAGTAAACAACAGAAAAATAACTAAAAGTTGACAGTGGTTGCCTCTGGGGAGGGAAAATGAGAGGTAGGGAAAATGGGACAGGGGTCTGACATTTTCCATATAATGTCATACAGCAATGTCCAATAGAATTATAATGCAATTATAATGCAAGCCATTATGTGATTTTAAAATTTCTTACATTAAAAAATTAAAAAGAAACAGGTGAAATTAATTTTAATGTTTTATTTAGTCCTATGTATCCAAAATATTATCATTTAAAACATGTAATCATTATAAACAAATTATTGCGATTGTACATTCTTTTATTTTGTACTACGTGTTTGAAATCCAACATGTAGTTTTATATTTACAACACATCTCAATTCAGACTAGCCACATTTTAAGTGTTCAATAGCCACATATGGCTAGTAGCTATCATACTGGACAGCATAGCCTATGGTAATACTTGATTTTTAAAAACAATACATATTGGACTGGCTGGTTAGCTCAGTTGGTTAGAATGCGGTGCTGACAACACCAAGGTCCAGGGTTCAATCCCTGTACCGGCCAGCTAAAAAAAAAAAAAAAAAAAAAAAGAGAGAGAGAGAGAGAGAGGGAGGGAGATAAAAAGAATACATATCATTAATGGCTACTAAATCACAGAAAGAGACAAGCAGCCGTTACAGCAAAATCCAGAAGGTGGGAACTCTTAGTAGACAAGCAAACCAAAGAGAGGAATTTGAAAAACGAGATGGAGAAGAAATCCATGAATTTAAAAAGACTTAAAGGATTTATCAGTGAACTGCAATATATGGTCCTTATTTAGATCTTGACTAGAACTACGTAACAATTTTTTTTTTCTTTTTTTGACCGATAAGGGGATCGCAACCCTCGGCACATGCTCAACCAGTGAGGGCACCGGCCATCCCTATATAGGATCCGAACCCGCGGCCTCGGTGCTCCCAGTGCCGCACTATCCCGAGTGAGCCACCGGGCCGGCCCTTGTAACGATTTTTTATTATATTTATGAGATGACTGAAAATTTGAACACTGAATGTTTTATATTAAGAAATTATTTTTACTAATTCTTTTTTAGGCACAGTAATACTTTCATAGTTTTTTAAAAGAGCCATGATCTCTTCAGTAAAAAAAAGTATTACTGTAAAAGTAATACTTTCATAGTTTTTTTAAAAAACTATAAAGTTTTTTAAAGAGCCACAATCTCTTCAGAATACATACCGAAAATATTTATGGATAAAATGATATGATGTCTGGGATTTGCTTCAAAATAATATGCAAGTTGGAGGATGTAAGTGGGAGTTTATATGAAATGAAATTGGCCATGAATTGATAATTGCTGAAGCTGGGTGATAGGTAACATGGAAGTTCATTATATTATGTTATCATCTCTTAGATATGTTGTTTTAAATTTTCCACAATAAGAGTTTGAAAACAAAATTATGAGACATATCTATTAATTTTAAAAAAAAATTTAAAAAGACTATAGGTAAGCTTAAAGGAAAACTTACAGTTAAATTAATGATTGTGACATATAATCACTCTGCCTATCCGACCCAAGCCCAACATTAATTCTTTCAGACCTAAGGAGAGCTTTTCTTATTTCTTATCCTGTCATAAGCCTAGGAGACCTATATTTGTCATTGGTACTAACTTTATACATAACCTCTCTTTCTAGCTCATCTGAAACTCTCCATAGAAAGCAGGACTCTATTTAAAGTCTGTTTATAAACCATTTGAGATTACCCCCTTGGCAGACTATAGTAGGCTTTAATTTACTACTTATCTAAAGGAAGTAGGATTCTCAAAAAACAACATAAGACAAATTCAAAAAGGTAAACTCAAGACACTAGTCAGTATAGCTGGAGAACTTACTTTTATTCTTGCAGTTTTATACTAGGAAGTCAACATTTAATTTAATAACCCATTGTTCACAATTGATTTATAAAAAAATTTTAATCCTTAAATTATACATCAATATCCTATGACTCCAAATTTTATTTGTCACCCTCCTTCAAGTCTGAAGAAAATGATTAATTTTTTAAGTTCCACAGACAGCACAGTCCCACTGACATAACATTTAGTCTGAAGTCCTATACTTACATGAGAATTAAGAACAGCCAGTATCAACTGGCCTGAAACCTGATTGTGTTCCTGGCTCAGGATAAATTAGAAATTTGCAAATCCACACTATGACACAAAATTAAACTAGGGTGTGTATATCTTATAAAAACCTTTTTCACAGTAGAATAAAAATTAATATTAAAATGTTACAAATTTCAATTTTATTATGGTGGTTTTATCCAATTAAGCTTTCAAAATGCCTGATTAACTGTATATTAATTGCAAATAACTTCACGTAGGATTTTTTTTTAAAGTTTGCCCAGCATTTCAAATTACAAAATTAATATAACTTTTAAAATGTCAAAGTATGCTATACATATTGCACTTTTCTGCTAGTCTGGGCTAGTATCTTCCATGGCAAGATACCAAAAGTATTGAATAAAATACACTTTTAAATCAATAGGTACTTGATTAATTTCCCTGAAATTATCAACATCATTACCAAAATCTTATAGGATTTTGTAAGACTTGATTCCTTAAATACAGTTTTAAAGTTAAACTTATAGAGGTAAATAAACCCCTCATATATTGACTTTTTCTGTCCTTTTTTGGTCCCTCAATGACCAAAGAGAATTTTAACAAATGGTGCTTCATGTTTCCTGGCTTAATAAAAAGTTATAATTTCTATTATCCAAATTAAGAAATATACTAATCAAAAGTTATTAATTTTGAAATGTCCATGTATGTCTGTCTGTAGGTCCCCTTAGAACCTTTTCAAACTTTTATAATCAAGAGATTTTAATCAATTATGTACTAGAATCAAACTAGGTAAGGAAAAACTTATTTTGCAAAAATAAAATCACTTCCCAATATGCTTGACAGAAACAAGCTATTCATTTTCATTTGTGTTCCATTGAAGACATTACTGAAATCTGTCCAATGGTTTACTTCCAAGTGGTCCGCTATGGAATTCTTCGGAATGTTTTAAGATTGGCTGTAGCTAGAATTCTGACTTCCATTTGGACCCTGCTCTCCTTCACTGTTCAATGGGGAAGAAAAAGATTTTATACTAATTAAAAGATTCATTTTCAACACCCTGATAAGTCTACTAATTTTTAAAGTTTGTTATTCTGTAGCAGAACTCTACAAAACAAAGACATTCCTGATTGTAAGACACAAGTGTGGAAAAATTAAAGTCCAGAAGACTAACATTTGGTTTTAAAACTTTTATTCTTATGTAACTTTGTGCCCTCACCCATAATAAGCATTTTGGAAGTTACTGTCCATATATGCTCAAAAAATTTAAATTAGGGTATGGGGATTTCCTTGTTATTACAGGTATCACTCAACATAGAGATTACAGCTTCTTCTAAACAAGTTTATTTCCTATAAAATTAAATCTTACATATAAAATCTTATTCCTACTACTTACAAAAATCAAGAAGTGTTCTTCAACAACAACAAAAATAACTATTGTCCTAAAGCATGGTAAAATCATATGTAAATACAGCAAACCTTTATAAGTCAGAAAGAAATATGGTGGTGTCCTAGAATGCTGAATATTTAAAATAAAAATAACTAAAACTGAAAATACCAGTAATCGTGGCAATAGGATCATTGCCTTATCTTGTCCACCATCATCTTGCAGCTTCAGGCCCTGCCACTAGTGGAGAATCACTCAGGGAATTTCTGCAAAAAATGCATCCAAAGGTAGCTGTTTGAATGACTGCCTTAAACAGCACCTTGTATAAGTCAAGTATTAACTTTTTCCAAACTGTAACATTATCAGCAATCTATAAATCTATCTTCACATTATATAATTATTTTTCTAGATAAGTGATTAAAATAGAGAGCATTTCTTTATTTTCCTTCTGAAATGCTACTTCTCTTTTTTTTTTCCCTACCCCAAATGATCTGATATACAGTGAGGGCTGAGAACCACTGAACTAAATGAACAGATCCTATTTAAAAACAGAACAACAACAAAAAAACCTCTTAGCACAGCTGATAAATATTTAGCAAAATTATATTGTGTGCTGTGCATCTTAGGGTCACCTAAAAGCCAAAATTCTTTATTTTTACAATATCAGATCATTCATCAAAATTTCTGAAAACTGCTACTGAAATTTACAAAACAGGATAACAGCTAGAAGTGAAAAAAGAAAAAAAAAAAAGATGACACAGAATCAAACTGAGTCAAACTGACATGGAACTACTACAGAATTCTTTATCCCTGAATTTCAGATGAATTTACGCCTAGTTCTTTTTGAATTTATGTACAGTATGTGGCCATATGTTGAGGGATACCTGTAATAGACCTCCACTGTATTAGGAAAAGTTACTAAATAGATGATCAGATTAATGTATTTTTTTAGAATAAGACATTTTCAATCTATCGTCACAAATTAAAAAAAAATAAAAAAATTGACATGAATCATGAAGTTTTGGAAAAAATTTTAAGAAAAATATACAAAACAACATAATCTAAGAAAAAGTATGATAAATGAGTATGATATATAATTAAATGAAATCAATTATTAAAATATACAAAGTACCTGTTTGGAGGTGGTTTTGGTTTCGGCATCTTACTAAGAATAGTTGCCATCTCTTTTCTTTCATCAAAATTCTTCCACTGCTCATATAATTTTAAAATAACCCTGATTATTTCCAAAATCTAGAAGAAAATATTTGAAAAGTTCTCAGTGGCAAAAACAAGCAACATTTACTATATAAAGAACAGGCATAATAATCATATACATTGTATATTGACAAAATAAAAATTAAAAAAAAAAATTCACTGTATCTGTTAGCAAAAAAAAAAAGAACAGGCATCACATACTGGGCATCCCTCAGAAAACAGTTAAAAAGATAGTCTCTGTCCTTAAGTATTCAGGTTAGATTAGACAAGCCTGAGAAATTTTTTTTTTTTTTTTTTTTTTTTTGGTGGCTGGCTGGTAAGGGGATCCAAATCCTTGACCTTGGTGTTATATTACCATTTTCTAATCAACTGAGCAACCAGCTAGCCCCAGTCCTGAGAAATCTGAAAGGACTATTTTTCGCCATACTGCTGTTGCGCTTTTCCTCCTAGCCACTCATCTTTCAACATTTATGCCCGGTTATCCTTATCCATCTCTGCAGTTGATTTCTTTCTATCTGATGACATCTTAAATCAAAACAAAATAGTGAGGTACTAGGAAGAAAGATTCTAATCATGAAGGAATATGCCACTATAGAGCACATTCCTCTAATAACAACTGTTTCAAACAGTTTAATGGGACATACTACACACAACACATTTTGATTCTGTTAACTACTCTACACATAAGTTAAAGTACTCAAAAACTGATAGCTATAAATCTGTCACATCTAGCTTCCAAATTAGCCCTTTCTTCCCTACCTGAGTAGACCTCACCTTGGACTAATTTTAATGCTTTTAACATTTGTACAGAAAAGGTAGACAACAAACACCACTTCACGAGGAGATAGACTATGTTACAGAAGTTCACAATAGTATTCAGTGGTCACTAGGTAGCTTTTAAAATAATCCTGGCACATAGAGGCTACTTTGCAACCAATCAAACCAAAAGATTACCACTCTGTTTGACCCTAAGCTGAAAAGAGAAGTATAACTTAGTCATCATCAAGTCTCCCCACCAAACACACGTTTCTTTATATTTTTTAATACCAATAATCTTCCTAGCTTGGTGGACATCATAAGATTTTAGGCTGATGATAAGTAAATATGACATTGATTTTTAATTGTTCAAGTTTATATTCAACTACAGGAATTTTAAAGAATACCTTCTCCATATCCACAGAAAGCTCAGCAAACCACTGTCTGGCATCTTTCTGCTGTACAACACAGGCTACATGTAAGCAAGCTGGAAAGAAAATGAAAGACAATTGCCAATGTTTAACTACAAACATGGAATGCGTGGCCTTAGAACTAAAGATATTACAAAATTATATAGCTGCATATAATGGTTACCACTGACCATCTGATCAACTTAATCTGATATAGATAGAAAAAAAACTACTATACTATATTAGGTTCTTGACATCTGCAACTCACTATATGTTAGTCAAGGTGCAGTTGCCTTGAGAGGCCATGTTAGAGAGGAAGAAGAATTCAGTGAGGAGATTAAAACAAGGAAGTCAACCCTGAAAACCAGTAAAAAGTAGAATCAAACTGCACCCAGAATTCAGAGTGACAAAAAACAAACAGCAATCAATACGCTGATAAATTTTAACCATGTTGACTATGTTTTGATATTTCAATTTAAAAGCAATTTTTTTTTCTTTTTGAAGTTATTAGCACATTATCAAGAATGTAAGGACTGAGCACACTGGTACAGAATTCACTGTTATAATCAAATAGAGGTTAGAAAAAATGTAATGCATTGTATATGATATATACAATACAAGCTAACAAAGATAGTAAAAAAATACAAAGACAACAATCTACATCACAGTTTTGCCTGAAACAATTCCTACTGAACAGCCTGATTCTACCCCAGCTTATTAAGAATTATATTCCCTTGTCTGGATACCCTTACGACTTTGCTTAGGATGACATTCTAAATAAACATCGACTCAAATGTGAACTGACATACCGGTTACTCCAAGTCAAATGAAGCCACAAAGTAGGGCTTAGGTCCAGAAAGGGTTAAGAGGCCAATGGACTAAAATTTATCATTTCAGCTTTTATCAAACAGGTAATTAAAATACAATGGAAAAATGCCACGACAGGGGCATATACAGTAAATTATGAAGGAGGCATTCTAAACCCAGACTAAGGTGATGTGGGGAGGGGAGGGTGGCGGGTGTCACTAAAGAGGTGATATCTGAGCCAAGTCTTAAGACAAGGTAAGAGTGGGAGGAGAGAAAGGCATATATATAAATGGTAAAATGAGACTGCAGATGTTATCCTGCAATTAGGAGGAACACTGAAAGGTTTAATTGTAAGACATTCTACATTTTAAAAGCTCATTCTAGCTCAAGGTTTCTCAGCTTTGGCACTACTGACATTCTGGGCTGAAAAATTCTTTTGAGGCTGTCTTGTGCACTATAGGATGCTTTTCAACATCCCTGGCTTCTACCCAGTAGATGCCATTAGCATCCCACCCCAGCTGTGACAACCCAAACCATTTCCAGATACTGCCAAATGTCCCCTGGGGGGCAAAATTATCCCCAGTTTAGAACCACTAGCCTAGCTCATCAGTGTGGAGGACAGACTGGCTCTCTAAGTACAGGGATGCTGGATGCCAATTAGCTAGTTAGGAGAATGCTGTGGTAAGCTGGGTAGAAATGAGAAGATGGCTATGAGATTACAAGAAGGGACAGACACTTGAGAGGAAGGCACAGAACGTACTGGTAAACAACTAGATGTAAGTATTGAAGGAGATGAAAGAGCCTAACTGCCAGGTTTCCAACTAGTTTAACGAACTAGTGCTTCACCAAGCTAGCAAAGACATTAAAAGGAAGAATATATTTTGGGGAAAGATAATAAGCTTAGTCCTGACCATGAGTCTAAGGTGCTGGTGACGTGCCAAGTGGAGCTACATAAAAGGATGATAGATATAAAGAACTGCTCAAGAGCAACATCTTGGCTAAATAAATTGAAATGTTTCAGCACATGAGCTACAGTACACAGCAGGAGCCTCGTGAGACCACCCGGGAAGAACAGAGACAGCAGGGATGATGAGGGTGTGGCACATGTCCTATTCCTGTTTCTGTTTAACCTATGCAGATCCCAGCATTCCTGCCCACTGAACCAGACGCCACTTCAGAATCCTTCCAGATCCAGTGCTCAGGGAGCAACTGGTACTAGAGGAGTATAAGTATAACCTATTTACCACCCCTGATGAGAAAAGAATGCTGAGAAACATCAACATTTAAAGAATAACTGAAAAAAGAGAAACCGATGAAAAGTTAAGACTGGAAAAAGAAGAGGGGGAAAAATCAAGAAGATGGAATTATAGAAATCAACAGAAGGAAAAGAAACAAATGAACAAGTGCCTAGTATCCAGCAGGCATTATTTGGTGCTCTATAAGCTATCTCATTTAATTCTTGAAATGACTCTATATGAAGTTATTAGCCCCCACCCCCCATTTTACAATTAAGGAAACAAACTCAGAAAGGTTAGGTAATTTCCCCACAATAGTAAAGGAAGCAAAATTTAAACCTAGAACGGACTCCAAAGACTATGTTCTAACCCATTACAGCACTGCCTTCCACAGAAAGTAGAATGGGAGCTAACTTCTCCCTCCTGCAAGGCATTAAGGAACAGAGATGTTCCTTTACTCAACCTCTGAGTACTTAATGGGCTCAGGAAATGAAAGGCCATTATTTTATATAAGTTACAACAAATATTAGCAGGCTTAATTCTGAACTTTTCCAACTAAACCAACAAAAATGTTCTCCATTCAGACACTGACTTAAATTATTTTAAATGAGTTTTAAAAAAACTTACCAAAAAAGAGGGGTGGGGGGACAATAATCCTGATTTGTGACAGTTGTAGATCATATTATTGAAAGTTCACATGCAAGGATTAGTCTATTACTTCATGGAACATAAAAACATAAAGTACAATAGAGTGAAATTTATTTTAGGATGACCTAAATAGGTTTACAACAACTTAACAAAGGTACACCACGCTTACATACCTAAAGCTATCATGAAAGGAGGATACAGTAGGCAAAGATCCGTTCTGTAGGTATCATTCACTATCCTCCTATAGAAAGGTAAATCATATTATTACTGAAAACAGAACTACCTCATCTGATTGAACATTTCCTCCCAGAAAGGGCCAGATTTCCCATCTTTGTACACATTTATTTCCCTTTTATATTACTGAAGCACACCTATAAAGGTGAAAACATCAAGGCAAAAGGATGCATACAGGAATGTGATAATGAATAAGCATACATTAATGAATAAAATTACAGCTAAATATATTTAAAATTCCAAAACCTCACAATTATAATATGAAACACATTTTTCTAATTTTTCGAAAATCAGATTAAAAAACAAGTTACACAGTGAATTTATACATATGTTGAACACTATCAAAAAGTATTGATTATTTTAAAGATAACTTCAGTCTTGATTTTTATCTAAACAGACTGTTTTTCCATGCAAAATCAAAATTTAACAGATGTTATTTATCAAACATAATTTAAGATACTTATCATTTTAGCATATATACCACTACAGTTATTAAAATTTAACCAACAGATATTTCACTCAACACAAAATACCTTGGGGCATTATTTTAATTACTTTAAAATTACTGAACTTAATATATAGTTGTCAACCTTCCTATCTAACACGTTACACTATTAATAACTTCTGTTCTAATTACCATGCAAGGGGAAGCAACATGTCTTCTTGGCCCATGTCCTGCACATACTGGAGCAAAGGTCTATAAGGATGATACACTATCAAGCAACAATCCTAGAAACAGTTTAAAAAATGTGTAGGTATAAAAACAGATTTATTACAACACAAAAATGATATCATTACCCAACTGATTTGTAATTGTGTATTTGAAAATGAATTTCTTTAACTCATGCTTGCTTCCCTTTTATTCTCTTAAGCAAGCAGTATGCAGCCCTAAACTCTACTACAGTAGTGAAGGCAGTGCTCTCTCTGGAATATACCTTGGTAAATCGGTTGGCAGTCAGTCAGCATCCATTCATTCCCTTAGAGACTCAAAGTGTCACATCTGCAACACACTGAAACCTCTTATTAGCCTATAAATCCATAATTCCCAACTAGAGGAGCAGAATTCTGCCAAAGACATAGTCTATCTTTAAATAACACCACACACATACACAAACTGTGCACATAATTTACAGTGGTTTAATGCCCTGACTTGTTTGCTTATAATCCTTTTATTATAATTACTTACTATAGAACAGAAAAGTGTTCCCATCTTAAGTAGAATATACAAATTATTTTACAGGCTTCAGAGAGGATACAGGTAATGATATTACTAGGCTACTATAATTTCAGCACATACCACTTGGATGGTTTTAAAATGCACCTCCCTACAAGTCACTTCTTTAGATAATTTCTGACTTCATTAATAAGTTTTACTCTATTAGTCATAGGAAAGAAATATACTTACCATTAGTTCTAAAAGATAAAATTCACATTCTAATATCTGTTAAAAAAAATAATTAAATGTCCACATAAAACCAAATTAGATGAGTCTGCTAAGACAAACACAATATATCGATGTTATAGTAATTTATCATAAATTTTTACTAAAAGTTTTTTAAACAAAGAAAATACAGCTTATATTAGAATTAATATGCAATTAAAAAAATCACTTTTTACCATTACATAATACATGTAATTATGATTATAAAGCATTTCAATCCTTATAAGGAAAAGCCAGCTTCATAAACATTCTTGTTACTGATTTCTACTTAAAATATCCTGTAAGGACTTCAGATTTTCCAATATACTGTCTATAGAACAAATTAATAATGCAATTATCTCTTCTTAATTAAAAAATCCAAATTAAGTAGAATGAACAAATCCCTTGCAAGGTAGAAAAAGGACATGCCTATTAAAATGTCAATAGAAATTCGTCTTATAAAATATAATTTTTCAAATATAATTTTCATTCTTTTCCATTATAATAGTTTTCAACCCCAGCTGCATATTGGTATCACCTGGGAGCTTTTAAAAGCTACCAATGGAAATTTTTTTTTTTTCAGATTCCGATTCAGTTGGTCTGAAGAGGATACAACAATTGTATTATTTAAAAAGTTCTAAAGTGATTTAATGGGCAGCCAGGGTTGATAACCACTACTATGAAGTATTTTAAAAAATGGTTGAAGCTATTTAGCTTTAGTTTAGAATAATGTCTAAATTCCTGTAGTATTTCAGGGAGACTTATAAAGTTAATTGTAATATAAAATGGAGCTAGTTTATATAAAGCTTTGACAAGTGTTTTATTTTATACAATATACTTACATGATTCATCCTATAAGGAAATTCCTTTGGAAAGGCATATGAAAATCTAGTTTTTACTGCAGAAAACAAAAAACAATTTAAACTGAGAAGATGGGAAAATTAATTAACCCAAAATTCCTTTAACATGTGTAGAATAGTAGAAGGTAGGCCTAAATCATTTTCAATAGGAGCTCTTGGCATAGGGACCCAGATTTCTTTTTGTTTTCAGGGGAGAGGAAAGACTGGGTGACAAGAAGCCCTTGTCCCCCACCTACACTACAATTAGAAAGCTTCAATTTTATATTTAATATATTTAAAAAAGTGTTCTGTTACTCAAAAAAAAAAAAAAAATTGAAAATTGGAAAAAAAAATCACTGACTTTTATCATCTCTCAAATCCTTCCAGCTGTAGAATGGTATTGTTCTATTTATTCTCCAGTGATTTAGCTTAGAAGGAACATAGGCGTTGTATATGTGTTTACAAATATATATAAGTTTGTTAAAAATATATATGTATATATAAAATATTGGAAGGATAATACACCAAAAAAATATTTAAAATGGTTATCTCTGAGATTTAAAGATTTATTTTTTACTTATCTGTGTTTTCTAAGCTTTTATATTGACTAGGTATTTCTTTATCCAATGATATATTTAAATAAAAGCATCAATATACGTGCAAAGATCTCTAAAACTTTTTTCACACCACACACACATACAGTTCCTACTCTTTTTAGTCACTAATAAAGTACAAAAGAAAAAACATTGTTAACCATCAATCCCCCATCTCCTCAAAATGGTATGAGTGTTTGTTAAATGTTAAACAGTACATTTAAGCACTATCTGAGAAAACTGTATTGAAGTCATAATACAACATTTAATTCAATCAAGCAGCTACTGACAGATTCTAGAGGATTGTTTTGTGATCCCTTCCATTTGTACAAAGCCCAAGTAACTTCACTGACACTAAAAGGAATTTCATTTTATTCTATGTACTATATTTTCAAAAAGATTTGCTTTATAAATTGAGTACCCTACAACTAATTTAGATAAGTAACATCTACCAAGATTTGAAACCTAGAACCATTTAAACTTGACATTAGGAAATTTTCTACCTGCCCCCAACCCCCTACCAGGAATCATGGCCCTTCAAGGAACTGATCAAGGTTGGCACTTTGATTTCCCACCCTCTCAAACTGTACTTTGACCTTTGATTTCCCAGCCTCCAAAAGGGAAATAAATGTTGTTAAACTCACCCAGTCTATGGTATTTTCTGATAGCAGTTGGAGCAGATTAAGACACCCCCTCACCCAGTTTCCCCTATTAATAACATCTTACATTAGTATGGCATTTGTTACAATTAATGAATCAATATCAATATATTAACTAAACTCCATAGTTTATTCACATCTCCTTAATTTTTACCTAATGTCCTTTTTCTGTTCCAGGATCTCACCCAGGATACCACATTGCACTCACTTGTCATGTCTCCTTAGACTTGTTTGGGTGCGACAGTTTTCCAGACTTTCCTTCTTTTTGATGAGTTTGACAGTTTTTAGGAGTACTAGTCAAGTATTTTGTAGGATGCCCCTGTAGTAGCATTTGTCTGATGTTTTTCTCATGATTAGACTGGGACTATGGGTTTTGGGAAGGAAGACCAGAGGTAAAACACCATTTTCATTATATCACATCAAGGGTACACACTATAAATGTGATTTATCACATTTATTTATGTACAAGGGTACATATTACTGAGGTGATCTTGATCACCTGGCTGAGATTGTGTTTGTTGGGTTTCTCTACTGTGAAGTTACTCTTTTTTCCTTCCTTTCCATAATGTACACATTAGAAGGAAGTTACTATGCATAACCAACATCTTAGGAGTGGGAGTTAATGCTTCCCCTACTTGAGGGCAGAGTAGCTACATAAATTATTTGGAATTCTTCTGCATGGGAGATTTATTTGTCTGTTCTCCCTCATTTGTTTATTTAGCCATTTATTTATATCAGTATGGGCTCATGGATATTTGTTTTATACTTTGGGTTATAATTCAATACTACCTTTTTTTTATTTTGCTGCTCAAAATTTTCCAGCTTTGGCCATTGGGAGCTCTTTTAGTTGGCTCCTGTGTCCTTTTGACATATCCCCTCAATACAGGTTTTCGATTTTGTTCCTTTTTTTAGTACTTTCCTATTGGCACTATGAGATGCTCCAGGTCCACCCTGTGTATTACCTGCCCCAGTCCTAGAATCAGCTATTTCTCCAAGGAGCCCTGGTTTCTTTTATTGGACAATGGTATTAGAAATGAAAATCTGGGTACCAGGTGAGCTCATTGCTACAGGAATGTCATTCCTTGTAATAGACCCTCCTAGCTGCCAGAGCCAAGAAAAACACATATTTATCCATGTATATAAACATATCAACAAATATTTCTATATGTGACTATCTGTTCTGGTCTTCCTCCCTTGCTTGCTTCTCTGTATATTTCCCTCCAACAATGAGAAAACTGGCTCTCAATATCTACCACCCATTTACATAACTGTTCAATTCCAGTATACACACAGCAGTATCAGAACTGGTAATTTGTATGCCTAAGAGTGACAACTTCATCAACTAGAGTACAGTGCTTATGCCTAGATTCTACACATTTCCAAAGTTACTTAGGTCAACACATTTCGCCCCTACACCCTTCACTGAGGTTTCACATTTTTGTAATATAGTTAGATTCTCCTTTTCTCAGCACCTAGTCACTTCCTAATTCCTTGCAATCTGGCTTCTACTTCTGCCCCCACAGTATCTAATAATACTACGTTCTCTCAAAGATGTTTTTTTTTCTTTCTTTCTTCGATTCACACCTTTTTCTGTGCAGCACAAGATACTATACAACTCTTTTTCTTAAACTGTTTCAAGTTCCAAATTTCTATCACTGGCTTCATATTTTTAAGAGAATGTGCTACTGATACATTTATATTTAGAATGTCCAAGATTAAATTTAATTGTTTACTTATTCTCTTTTCTGGAACCAACTTCAGCTCCCCAATACCCAGGCATGATACCTCAAAAATCATTTTTGACTCTTCTTAAATACTTTTTTCCCCACAAGTCCTGTTGATTCTACTGCTCAAACCTGGCTTGCTTGTTCTCCTTGCTGGCTGCCAATACATTAGTTTAGGCTTTCATTAGTGCTCATTTGGATTACTTAAGCAATTTCAAAAGAAATTTTTTTCCACCATAAACTTGTTAGCTTTTATTTCTCCAGCATATTGTTGTGACAGCACTCACAACAGTTTGCAGTTGTATTTCAGTTTTTTGTTTGTTCTTTAAATTATAGTAAGACAGACATAAAATTTACCACTTAAACCATCTGTAAGTGTATAGTTCAGTGATATTAAATACAGTCACATTATTGTACAGCCACACTACCATCTATCTCCAGAACTGTTTTCATTTTGCAAAACTGAAACTCTGTATGTGCCTCCCCCACAAGAACAATAACTCTCCATTTCCCCCTCACTCCTGCCCCTGACAACCGCCATTCTATTTTTTACCTCTATTAATTTCATTCCCCCACGTACCTCATAAAACTGGAATCATACAGTACTTGTCTTTTTATGACTGGCTTATTGCACTTATCATAATGTCCTCAAGGTTCATACATGTTGTAGTGTGGAACAACTTCAAAATTTGTCTGTCTGCTTCTACTCACCCTCTCTGCCAATCCATCTTACACAATTCTGCCTGATTCACCTTCCTAATGCACAATTCTAACATCACCCTCATGTTTAAAAATAAATAAAGCTCTCAAAAGTACCACTACTGGGCCGAGCCCATGGCGCACTTGGGAGAGTGCGGCACTGGGAGCGCAGCAGCGCTCCCGCCGCGGGTTCGGATCCTGTATAGGGATGACCGGTGCACTCACAGTGCTCACTGGCTGAGCGCGGTGCGGCCAGTCTCAAAAAGGACAAAAAAAAAAAAGTACCACTACTGTCAACAGAACAAAGTGTAGACTCCTTCACCTAGCACTGAAGGCCCTCTATTAACTGATCTTTAGCCAGGTAAAGATTTTTTCCTACTATTTCCTTACCATTCACCGAATGTAACACATTAACTTTCCCTATTTTTAACCAAACTGTTCAGTGTTCCTAGACTGTCTTTCTCCTGTATTTCCTCAGGTTCAAATTCTTTCTTCACCAAGTTCTACTTAAGCCTTTCTGGATTCATCTAATAAGCAATCTTTTCACACGAAACGTTCACAGCATTTTCTGTAAGTCTCTTATACCACTTATTTCCTTCTGTATTAGTATTTTTATATGCATGTCTTATTTTCTTGTCCTTAAATTCCTTGTATCTATCTTGGTCTCCACCACTGTATTGGTAGAGTGTTTTCCAGTGATAATGCTACTGTTGATGATGATGACGATAAGAGCCACTAAAGTTTGCTATTACACACTACACAATGTCCACCCGAAATTCAGTGTTGACGTCGTAATTCCCAATATCTGAGAATGTGACTATATTTGGAGAGAGGGCCTTTAAGAGGTAATTAAGGTTAGATGAGGTCATAGGCTGGGGCCTAATTCTTTAGGACTTCTGACCTTATACCAAGAGGAAGACACACCAGGGGTATGTGTGCACAGAAAAAGGGCCATGTTAAAACACATAGAAGGTGCCCACATGCAAGCCACGGAGAGACGCTTCAGAAGAACCGAACCTACCAACACCCTGATCCTGGACCTCAGGCTCTAGAAATTAATTTCTGTTGTTTAAACCAAACAGTATGTGCAACTTCATTACTGTAGCCCTAGCAAAGTAACACACTGAGCAAGGGACTGTTCTAAGAGCTTTACAGATATTAACTCATTTGATCTTCACAACAACCCTATGATAGAGATATTAATATCTTCATCTTGCAGATGAGGAAACTGAGGCACAGAGAGGTTAAGTATTTTGCCTAAGCTGTCACACAGAAAACAGCGGAGCTAAAATTTGAAGTTCAAGTAGTCTGGGACTATACAATATACTATACAATTTATGAAATAAATAAATAGCCTACTATAAGATTTTCTTATTCATTGGTAACCAAACTTCTTATGAATATACTTTTAAGCCTTTGCATGAAAAATATAAACAAACAAACCTTGGTAGTAGGTATCTTACATTAAAAAAAGATGTACACCTTTTAAAAAGTTTAGAAAACAGAGACTAACATTAGAAGAAAATAAGGCACCTTTAATCTACTATGCAGAGATGAACACTGCTAACATTCTGGTAAGAATTCCTTCCAGTCATTTCACAATTTTTTAATAATTTGATTTTTCCAGAGGACAATTCAATACTTCATCAATATGATATATTTGGTGTATTAAACTTTTTGGCAAACTGATTACCAATTTTCTACCCTTAAAAGAATTAAAATATGACACGGAAAAGACCGAATTAGATTATTATACTCTTCTCAGAAAGGGGAATAACCCAAAACCAAAAAAATTAGTCAGTCTGGCTCACAAATTTAAAATGCAAAAAGCCACTTTCTTCCTTTTCTGTGTAGAAAACAGAAATAATTTTTAAGTCTAAATTATTTTTTGTTAGGTGATGTCTTTTTGCTTAACCTATAAAGATGGAGAATAGCAAAATGTTAAACTCTTGTGTGCAGTACTTTACAATTGTTACTTTACAATGTTCTTTCCTTTAATGTCATGACTCACGGAGAGCTAAACCTCATCCTTTTAGATAAAGAACTAAGGCCAAAAGATAAAACAACTTGCTCGAGGTGAGGCAGCTCCTTAGAGACAGAACACAGATACTTAGACAGAATGGCACTAAAAGTCAGCTCTACTGACCACAGAGTCAGCATTTTTTTCTGCACAATGTTTTTCAATATGGAGGTTTAAAAATACACAGTTCTTTCATCAAAGACATACATTACAGTTGCTAAAGAAATAGTTTACTCCACCCACAAGAATGACATAAGGCTAGTCATTAGGAAACAACAAACTATAATAAAATTAGAAAACAAATTTTTTCTTTACCCTTATTATAAAATTAAGAGCCACTGAGTTGATGTTTTTGGATTGATAATTACTATCAATTTTTAACATTAAAAATAATGTCTTAGAAATAACACTATAAGTGGTTTAAAAACTTCTTTTCTAACTTTATTTTTTCTTGCTAAATACACTAGTCATAAAGGTATCCTTAAGAGATTTAATAAACCCAACTAATCTCTCATATATCTTATAAATTTAAAAATATCTGTATACTAATAGAGCTTTCTTCAGAATACATCCTTAATGCAGGATATACTTTTTACACTTACATACAGAAGTAGCAGCAGAAATCAATCTTGTATTTGAGACTACTCCAAATTCCTAAAGAAAGAAAAGTGGATGAGACCATATTAACCCAGTGAACACAGGGTATCTGAAGTCTATTCAAAATAGAGGATTTCCTAGCTCCTCCCATGTTCATAGTCTATTCATCTTCTACCTACTTGAGGTATGAAGTACTTAAATCTCTAAATGTATTACCTTTCCTTAAAACTACTACAATTTAAGAAACATTTTTAAGTAATTTTATAATTTAATATCAATAAAAGGTACCAAATTCAAAACCAAGCCCTAAAGTGACAGTGCCATTTTTCTGCACTTAAATTAGTTTCCAGGTATTGTTTAGATTTCACACTTAATTTTAAGAATGTTAAGTATGCTTCCAATTCAACTGAACCTGGACTAACGAATAGATACTTCATGCCATTTACTAACAAAACAGTGCAATCTCTAAATAAGATAAACTTTAATATCACCAAAAGAACTTGAAAGAACATGCAGTTATTATCCTTTTCGGAACAGGGAGACAAGAATGTTATAGTATAAGGCTTCCAAGGTCAGTTCCCATTTACTCTTTCAACCTAATATGCTGCCATTATAATTAAAATTATCAGGGCCAGCCCGTGGCTCACTTGGGAGACTGTGGTGCTGATGGCACCAAGGCCATGGGTTCGGCTCCCTATATAGGGATGGCCGGTTCACTCACTTGGGAGAGTGTGATGCTGACACCACCAAGTCAAGGGTTAAGATGCTCTTATCAGTCATCTTTTGAAAAAAAAAAAAAATATATATGTATATATCAGGCAATCCACCTTACATATATTTTGTCTCATTGAATTTCAGATTAACTTCATAAGATTTCGAGAGGCTTCACTTCATTTTAAAGCAGAAAAATCAGGAATTGGTTCTTTACTCAGCAAAAGAAACAAAACTAAAAATCTATCTATTCAAATACCTTCAACCTACATCTGTATCCTGTGTGGGGGAAATGTATGTGTATATGTATATTTACATTTACATGTAAACCTCTAACTATAATAACTGAAAATAAAAAACAAAAGCCCGAGGGGCCGGCCCGGTAGCGCACTGGATAAGTGCGCCGCTTGAAAAGCGGGGCGGCGCTCCCGCCCGAGGGTTTGGATCCCACATACAGACCGGTTCCCGCTCACTGGCTGAGTGAGGCGCGGGAGCAACACCGAGGGTTGCAATCCCGTTGCCGGTCCCAGGTCCGGTACGGGGGCAACACTGAGGGTTGCGATCCGTTGCCGGACACGGAAAAAGACAAAAGA